ACACATGACTTCTATGACAAATATACATATAAACCCCCCTCACTGCTTTTGTATTTTTAGATCATCCATATTTTGAGCAAGATCTGTATGCGAGCTATATTATTGAGGTAAACGAAAACGCAGGGCATTCATCTGCAGAAAGCAAGGCCTCGCAAGGGTGTGCTTGGTAGGGCACCTGGAAATCAAAACACCTGAAATCATTTCTGAAATCTTGCAAATATTTTCAAAATTATCCAAACTCCCAATGCTTTTATGATGAGTGTGATGCCATTTGCTTTTCCTTAAGGAAAGGTAAGTGCTTGGGTATGTGTCTGTGCTGCAGAGACCGCAACATGTGCCAAGTCTGTTAGCCTAGAACCAGCAGAATCCCATCACCACGGCACAGAGCTGCAGCTCACCAGCCCTACTAACAAGGAATCATCTCGACACCACTTGCAGACCTGCCTAAATGCCTCCATGTGGAGCTGTGCTGCACAATACAGCCCAGTTCACCCAGCACTGCACCGTATGCCATCACTCCAGGCTAGGCACGTCTCAAAAGAGCAGCTCCAATCTCCATTTTAAAATGTGTCCGTGGTTATACAGGATAGTTTGACCATATCACAACTGCAGGGTAAACATACCCATGTTACATGCGTCCTGGAAAGCCACTGCACAAAATACCATTAAGTAAACAACAGCAAAAAACTCACAATATTTTCAGCCATCTTCTAATCTTTAACTATGTTCTTTGGATGTTTTGGAGCAGCAATGCACTGAAAACCTAGTAAATTGCTCTATAACACCGCGCAGACACTGTGTTTGGCCCAGCAAAGCTAAGCCCAGCACTGGAAGCACTTCTGCTACCCACCTACAAGAGGAGAGCCACTCACCACCGCTTTCCCCAAATCAGCCCGGGTTCAGCATCAGCTGGTTCATCAGAACCAAACAGGGAACTCTGATCTAGGGAAACCCAAGTCTCTGGAATGGCCAATGCTGGGAATGGAGGAGCTGCTGAGTCCCCACTGATGTAGCATGGGGTGTGCGAAGAACGAGGCACAAGGTGGAAGGGCCATGGCTGCCCTGGCTGCGGGAGAGCGGCCGTTAACGGCCGCCAGGTGACCGTTATGCGCGGCGGGAGCGAGATGCCGCGTCTCGCC